AAACACCTTCACTACTGGCACCAGAACTCCTTTTCCCCTCAAGGCTGGCTAAAACTCTTACTCTTCCTTGTCTACTGAGTTACTGTGGGTGGAGCTGGAGTTTTTTCCATTACTTCAAAATTTCAAGTGGTTTTACAGCTCTTTGCCATGGGATAAATGTCTGTTATACAAACTATTTTGACATAAATACTTACAAAGTGTTTTAATTTAGGAGTGACAAATATAGCTTCTAGAAGAGATAGAATTGATTTGCTCAGAGGTACTTAATTTTCTGTGTTTGTCTGTTGACATAAAAGCATCATTGAATATTTAAAAAGGAAAACTTAGAAATGTGTAAACACAGATGTAATCTTATAATGTAGGTGAAGAACCATTGTTTAGAAAAGACATGGAAAATGAATCTGTCTCTTTCTATATGTACATACATATATGTATATATTCTGGTTACCCGTGATCCCACCATATCCTGTATTTGTCTTGTTTTTGTGATTTCAGCAAGTTCAACAGAGAATTTTAGATGATCTAAAATGATTTCCCACTGCATCCCATTTTCATAAGCTACTGATAAAGATATTGACAAACGTTTTTCAAACCAAGACTTCAAAATCTCTAATAGAAAGCTGGACTCTGCAAAGCTCCTGTTCTAGCATTTCATGGCCTCCTTATTTAGAAAAAATTCCTTTAAAACTTTGTTGCTACAAATCAATCCAACCACTATTTGTTATGCACCAAGTTAACATAAAAAATTGTTTATCACATGCCTCTTAAGTACTCCCAAATACCTTTGGGTTTTAGAAGATTGTATTGATTTCTTTCCCCTATTGTCCTTTTCTACAGTGAGGTGGGAATAATACAGTTAAATGTCTTCAGTTGTTGCAAGTAGGCCATATTTTCTGAATGTGTTACTTGAACTGCAATCTGTGGAGAACTGGGAGCTCAGAAGATTAGATCACTTACAATCTCCTTACAAGTCAGACAAGCATGCATATATGTTTTCAGAGAAGCAAATAAAAGAAGTGTGTTTGTAAGAAATAAAATGAGTAATCTCAAATTTTTTTGGTTGAAAACAATGCAGGGTGTCAAGATTGTGTGAGATGGTCCTAGTTTCTTTTCCAAAAGAGAATAAAACTTTGGTCTCATTCTGAAGAATGTGTGGACTGTGTTGCTCAGGATTTGATTGTATTTTGTCTGCCTATATCTTTTTAAAATTATGGTACTTAAGATTAGGTGCAGAACACCAGATAAGATTTGGCAATGGCAGATTGGATGGAATAATTACAAATTTTTTCTTAAATAATACATTCCTGTTAATACATATCACAGCAGCAGTTCTTATTTTTAAAAATGACAACAAATCATTAACCCATATTGAATTTGTGATCTACTATAACTCCTAGTTCCTTTTCTACAATGCTCCTGTCTAGCTAGCTGTTCCCCAATCAGTTTCTATGGTTTTTTTTTTTTTTCTTCTTAGATTAAGACCATTGTGTATGTTTCTATTGAGTGCTTCTCACATCTTTTGGATCATGTCTCTAATTTATCAAAGTCTTTGAGTCCTACATTGGTGCTTTGGAACTCTTGCAATTCCTCAAATTCTGGTTTCATATGCAAATTTTCTAAACATTTTAGATGATAATTTATCATCCAAGATCAAGTTAGTTCAGGATAAGCCATTGCAGGGCTCATTCTATAGTCCTTTGAAAATCTTTGAAAAACTGCCCTTTGAGTAGTGGTTACATCTCTTGCATGCTCATTTTATGGTGGTTTCAGCTAAGCACTATTTCACTTTTTTGCTTATAAGAATGTCTCATGGGACAGTATTAAAAGTTTTAATTATACCAAAGTATGACGGTCTATTGTTTCCTTGTTACTCGGCCTTGAAGTACAAACTGGATTGATCTGGAAGGATAAATCAATCATATCAATGTCGGCTGATCTTGACAGCTTAGCAGCCTTCTGCTGATTTTTCAGTTGTTTTCATTAAAAATATTTCAGTATGGTTCTAGTGTCTTTTCTAGGTGCTGATGTGGAAGGCCTGGCTTCCGATTACCTTGATCTCCCTTTCCTAGACAGAGAGAAGCACTATTTGCTTTTTATCAGCTCTCTGACACCTTTCCCCATACTCTCAAAGGTAATTACTGAGGGTTTGGATCCTTAAACAGTAACTTAAATGGCTGTAACTAACCTAAATAATATTCACTCCAGTCTTTCCGTATTCTGACCTGTTCTCTTTTCCCAATGCATAACACTATGGCAGTATCTGTTAACTTTTCTTTGTATAGAAAGAAATTACGTTTGATGCGTCCTCTGTCAATTGCTGCCCTTATTTAAATAGCAGACCTGACTGTTTTTAGTTATTTTTACTCCTAATGTGTTTATATAGCTTTTTCTTACCTTTTATGTCTCATATTGGCCTATCAAGTAAACCTTTCAACTGGAAAATTAGTTGCTGCTAGATAATCCTTGTTAGGCACCTCTGTCTTTGAGGGAAAAGAGGTGATCTGGAGTATTCCTATTCACTTGTAAAAAGCTGGGCTTTCACTTGTGGAAATCATAGAATCGAAGGTTGGAAAAGACCTCTAAGATCATCGAGTCCAACCATCCACCGAACACCACCATTCCTACTAAACCATGTCCTGAAGTGCAACATCTACATGTTTTTTAAACACCTCCAGGGAGGGGGACTCAACTGCCTCCCTGGGCAGCCTGTTCCAATGCCTGACCACTCTTTCAGTAAAGAAATTTTTCCTAATACCCAATTTAAATCTCCCCTGACGCAACTTGACGCCATTGCCTCTCATCCTATCGCCAGTTACCTGGGAGAAGAGACCAACAATGTAAGAAATATAGGTCTGGAGTGCATAGGAAAAAGAAGTGTTCAGCATTTCTAAAAATTTTACTTGATTTAGAGTTAGTCTCCTGTTTTTTCTGGCAAAGAGGAATTGGATTAAATTTAAGGAACCATATCTGTATTCATGTAGCATGAGAGGAGAGTGGACAACTGCACCCAGCTCAGTACAGCAAAAGAAATGAGGCTCTTACATTGTCAAATCAGTTGTCAAAGGAAGAAAAAAAGCACAAATGTGAAGTAACTGCAAGAAGAGAATAAATCAGTAACATGGAAACCAGCAAAGAGGCAGGCTGGATGGCATTTCTAGTTGAACATCCGCAGTTCAACCTAAGCAACTTTATCCGAGGTATTTTTCCTGAAATGCCTGCGTAACTTAGGATCCAATATGAGCTTTAGCTCACAGGAATCCCAGTCTTTCTGAATAACACAGTTGAAGTTTTGAAGTGTGTCTTTAACTTCTAATAATGAGATTTTAACCTCTCAGTTGTGTGCTTTTGAAAATGCTTTTCAGGCTTTCTTTTTTCTGAAAACTTTGTATTTATATTCAACTTCCATTATAGTAAAAGGAGATAAAAATATAGTCAGTGGATGGCAGAATTCCCTGGGAAAAACCGAAAAGAGCCCCATGTCAGTGAGGCAGAAGGGAATATTGCCAACAAAAAGAGGCAGTCTTTTTTTAGGCTGGAGTTTACAGGCATATTGCATTTAGGTTTTGTAGGTTTTTTTGTGTGCTTTTTTATCTGCTGCATACAAGAGGTCTGAGACAGACTCCACGAAGGAAGACTATTGTAAACTGTGAGACGCTCTCTTCCTTCCTCAGGAGATTGCACTGGCAAAGCGAGTCTGATGAAGTTTCCTCCACTCAACTTCAGAACTTCTGCCACGAGAAGGATGAGCGCTTACCAGCAGGAAGCTCTGAAAATGACTTGAAAAAGTGAATCTCCAGGAAAAGGTGTAGGATTTTCTGTCTCCTGGCTCCAGAGAGAATATAAACTGTTCTGGAGATGTCTAACTTTTCTGTGTATACAATTATAACAGCTGATCAATGTTTTAGGAAAAAAAAAAATAAAGCTGGCCTAGCAAAACTCATCATCATTAATTTGTATTATGATAACATTTACAGAACCCCTGTGAAATTAGACCATGCTGCATGAGGTACTACTGTACGGGTGCATTAAAAGTACCAGCTTCTGTTAGAAGGGTTTACAACCTGAAGAACACGGACAGAGAAAGGTTGGCAGATAGGAAGGTTTTCATTCCCAATTTACAGATGAGCAGCTGAGGCTGAAGATACAGCAATCCTGATCTGATGCTACCTGGAAGTCTCTGGGAGTCTGGTTGTTCTGAGCAGGCTGGCTCAGGCCTGGGCTTGCAGGATGCCTCTGTGGCACAGCCAAGGGTTAACCTCAACTTTCCAGAGATTCTTGATGGTTTGTGATTCTGCCTTTGCTAGTTCACACCCGATAGAAAGTGTTCCTCTCCCTACAAATATTCAATTATGTTATTTTTGATCCTCACTCTATTTAGTAACTGACTTTGTGCTTTCTAGGACCATATTGCAATTTCTAGTAAACTCTTATTTCGATAGTAACTGAGGCAGGTTTAGGATATACTCTTTACTTCATCCTCTTCTCTGTGATGGATTTTTTGATGGGCAGAGATGTAATAAGGTATGACCACTTGACAGACATTTTTTTGTGGAGAAAATTGGGAATTGATACCATCTGAGATGTTAGCTTGGGATGCAGGAGCCACTGACTTTTATTCTATAAGAACAGGCCTCAGTTCTAAAACAAGAGCTCCAACGTGCACTGTATAAACTATAACTGTGCTTTATGAATATGAAGTGAGTGCTGCCCTGTGTCCTTCTGTCACTGACAACCCTTGTGGAGTCCTTTGCATATCAAGCCTTGTTAAACATCGCCTGGAATACCAGTTTGGCAACTGGACTGTCTGGTGGAGCCTCCACAGTAAGTGCCTGAGTGGACATGGAATGAGGGGTGGGGTGACTTGGCTGATCAGGGAGCAAGCGAATAATGCCCCTTTGTACTGACCAGGGTTGGGAGTGCTGGGGGATGTGGACTCTACAACAAGCTTCCAGTGTCATGTCTTTGCACAGGGTTGAGAACTCAGCTAATGTGTCTGTTACTCATGTTGCCCCTTCCCTTCTTATAGCCCTCAACAGTACTTGCAAGACTTCGTTCCTGTAACGGGCAAGAAGGATACTTAAATGAGAATATCCAAAGCTCCTCTTGCATGTAGCATGGCAAGTCACTCATCACTGCAGTGGCATATATGTGACGGTGCGCATGAGGAGTGTAGTGGTGCAGCCAGAAGACTATTGTGCAGGGAGTCAGTGATCCTCATGCTTACTGCCTTCTCGCATACACAGGTGCGCTCTGAATAGCCCATGGCCGCTTACCAACCCACTGTAGCAAAGTGTCCGTGATTACTAAGGCATGTCTCCACACCGTGGACACCATGTGACTGCTCTCTGCAGTAGTATAATTAGTCAGTGTACACACAATAAATGTGCAAGGATTCAGTATGAGACTAGCATATTGTCTTGTCCACTTGAAATATTATATGCACCTGTTCAGGTATTGTAAGTCTATTGAGGTAAGGATACTGGAGCATATTGTCCAAGGGACCCTTCCAAACTAAGTCCACATTCCAAGCTTGACTGCTATGAGTGACTGATGAATCTGTATTGTGAGCAAGGCTCTAGAAGAATACTAGCAATCCTGGTGCTGGCAAATCTTACCACAGATGAGAACTCTGCACAGCGTGCTGTGATCCACAAGGGTGGGCTTGTCCAGTGCTGCAGTTTCTATCTTTTTCTCAAATTTAGTTAAACAGCTTTGAGTGTTGGTGTCTTTCTTTAAGATCCCAAAAGAACTGGCACCTCCTTGGTGCCAAACATTATGCTGGGTGAAGAGTTGGAATCTGCTTATTCACGCAACTAACTCTGTCTTGCTGCTTCCTGATATCCTGGAATTGTGTGTTTCTGTCAGTAAAACTGTGTAATGCAGCACTTGGCAGTTTGTCAGCACAGTGTGTCTCTGTGAGAGAGGGTTGATTTGGCAAGGGGAAACATCAGGCTTAATTAGTGGGAGGGCCAGATCCTGGGATTTTCCAAGAAATTTTTTTCCACACGGAATTTCCCGTCTCGTGGATGGCAGTCCAGTTGAGAGAATAAAAGGCAGTAGTAAAGGCAGAGGATTACATGGTCCAGACACTCGGAGCTGAACTTAATCTGCAAGTTCATATTCAGCAATTTAGCAACGAAAAGCAGTCACTGAGAAGTATTGCAGAGGACTTTTGCCACCTGGCCAGCACAACCTGTGAGTATAGATGGTGTGTGTTATGCTGTTTCATTGCTTGTCTGAAGGAAAACTGGACAGGTGGATTTTTGTCTTGGTGTTCTTTAAAAGCTGCTTACATTTAAAAGCGATCTTACTATTAAGAACTGTTTTAAAATAAATAATTTCTTAAAAATGGAAAGCTTACGTGTTTAGAATAATTGTTAAGAAGTATGTAGAAAATATCACATAGACGTTATTATATATTAAATTAAATTGTAAAAGGTCAGTATTTATTCTTTACAGTTGTGTTCCTTTGTTCTTTTGTAGGTGTCTGCTTAACAGATAAAGAGAAGATAAAACTTTCAAAAACATGATTTGCTTGTGGTTCCTATCTCTTCTTGCTTATGGTAAGCATGTATGTCTGTGTAAAAAAAACCTAGTTGGATGGTAATATTAGTGTGCCTGCTCTGAGCTCAGAATTAAACAGAATTGTTGAAACTGACCTAATTAGCTGGAGGCGAGGTTCACATAGAAAAACCTCTGGCTGCGGTGGCACGTTTCCCTACGTGCCTGTGAAATACATAATTGGCTCCTGTAGGTTGCTGTGAGGTCTGCAAAGCTTTCTGTGATCGGACATAGTGTCACAGGCTGAAGTCCCTCTACTTTGTGCTGACATGCCCGTTTTGAAGCTTGCCAGTTAATTGTTGATAAAATAATTGCCACTGCTTGTTATGCAGTTTCAGATATTGACAAGTTTGCAATATTTATAGAGCTTTATCTATCTGCTTCTAGAGGGAGAGGAGGGGAAAAGTCAGACACCGACTTTTTGACATCTTTTCTAGGACTTACGATACTGCAGGGGGTGAGCTGTTGGACATACCATTATTCAGACACAAACATGACCTACAGAGAAGCAGAGCTGTGGTGCAAAAAGAGGTATACTAACATGGTTGCCATTCAGAATAAGGAAGAAATCAACTATCTCAATAACTTTTTACCCTTCAATCCTGGTTACTACTGGATTGGAATCAGAAAAATTAATGAGGTATGGACCTGGATTGGAACTAACAAAGAACTGACAGAAGAGGCAAGAAACTGGGCTTCAGGTGAGCCAAATGGCAAAGGGAACAACGAAGACTGCGTCGAAATCTACATCAAGAGAGGGAAGGATGATGGCAAATGGAATGATGAGCAGTGTGATAAAAAGAAGGTCGCCTTGTGCTACACAGGTATGGTATGAGAAAGGCCGTTCTAATGTGCCCCTGTAGAAATTAGGTGGTGGGTGGGAGAAGTTGTTTAACTTAGCCTTACATATTAACTACTTGACCCTGTGAGCACTTGTACACTTATCCTTACTTACAGGGCTGAGGGTGTTCTTTTTCTAAGAGCTGGATTGATCTCACTTACCTTTTAGCTCCCAGAATATTGTACGTCTTTAAGTGAGTCACCAGATCTTCTCTGTAATCAGTGGAGAGAAACAGGCCCTTCCAGATGGTGACTTTCATCCCACTCTCAAGTGGGTGTCTCAGCTAGATAAGAATGGCCCTTTTGGAGGCATTGGTCTGCTGACTATAGACCACTGCATTAGATTAGACATTTTGTGTGAAGGTGGCTAAGGCCAGGTCAACAAAAAAAATCCAAGTCAAGTATCAGCCAAATTAGAACTGTGGAGAGTTAATGAAGAATTTACTTGTTGAGGATTTCTGTCTACCCCATAGTATATTGTTCCTTTTCAAATATTGCTATTATTTACCTGAGAACAAGCAGTCATCTAGTTCTGTGCCAGCAGAATCCTTTCACTATGAGCTAGTCTGTCAAAGGTGTTGATTTCTGAAATGCTTCTGTGAAATGACAGGGTAGTCTTATGTACCCAGCACTCTGCTTTTCTTTTGCTATACAAAGTGCTTGTTTAGTGCTAGAAAGAGAAACAAAGCACTAGCCAGGTTTCATTAGTGGCCATTGCTGATTCTTTTATAATTTGTTGTATTTTTTCTTCTTTCTTTTTCTTCAGCTTCTTGCAACCCATCTCTCTGCAGTGGCCGTGGAGAATGCATAGAGACTATTAACAATCACACCTGCCATTGTAACCCTGGATTCTATGGGCCTGAATGCGAGTTTGGTAAGATGACTCCATCCTGCTTTTCAAGCAGGGTGATGTTCATGCTACCTAGTGTTCAGTTTGTCTGGCTTATTGATTTACCTGCTCAGGCAGTGAGACTGACTGTGTACCTTCTTGTGTTTCTTTGAAGTTAAGAGTTGTGATCCACTAAAGCAACCTGATCATGGGAGCCTGGAATGCAACCATCCGTTGGAGAACTTCAGCTACAACTCATCCTGCACAGTTCAGTGTGAGGAAGGCTATGAACTGACTGCATCAGAGTCTGTATATTGTACCTCTTCTGGGGTCTGGTCTGCCCTCCTTGCAGCGTGCAAAGGTGAGCTTCTCAAGCACTGATAGATGAGCTTTCTACATTATACATAGTTCTGTAAACTTCAGTGTTGCTCTGTTAGTAGGTACAAATTGAAGTTCTTGGTAATTAATTACATGGTGAAGGAGCTATTTTATTGCAGCACACAGGTTTCTGTTGCTGAAGAGATGAAATGGGCAGGATGAATGTTCTGGCCCTGGTCTAGATCTCCAGCTAGGGAAAG